AAATAAACTGGGTCAAGTTGTCGGTTCACATCATACTCAATAAGTCATCAATGCCTTTCCACACACAATTCTTGACATATTCTATAATGGATCCTCTGCTATGTACCACTTGTAAAAATTCATCTTGTAAATCATCGATGTAAGGATCAGACGTAAATGTTGGTTCCCCGTGTAGACTGTCGATCCTAATATTGTATGAATGGAAAAAACATAATTTACTACTACATGAAGCAGATAGGTTATAGTGGCAGTAAATACAGTGGGTTTGTACTAAAAGTGTGAAGCTGAGAATGGATTGATGTTAGATCTGTTTTCATACATGTTGCATTCAATTTCTATACCAGTTGTTTGAAAAATGTAATAATTGATAATTTAGAATAAGATTTTATTCTATGAAACTATTTGTTGTATACGAGTGAGTTTTTGGCATTTAGTTTATAAATAGAATGTGATGATGAGGTACAACTGATCCCTACAGGTGAATCTAAATCCATTCTCCCAACTTCCTGTTCATAGTAAAAATACAGAATACAAATCTCAGATGTTTATGTTAAGCAACGGGTATCAAGCATGTGTAAATGACATGTAACAGTGGCAGTTTAATTTCTGACATAACTGACTCACAAAAGTTAAAAAAACAATCACTGGTAGCATAGTGGTTGTCGCATCAGACTCATGATCGGTAGACTAGAGTTCAAATCCTACCTCCGGCTGAACACCAAAAAGGGTCAACACCTACCCTGGGCGAGTGTGCTACAGACTCAATGGGAAGGCCAATTCCACTGGCCGAGATTCATTCACTAACAAATACGACATTGGGGGAACCTTGGTTAAGGTCCGCAGGTGCTTGTGTTCGGCCAAACCTGGTTAACACCAGGATAGCGCATTAAATTGCCATTTGATAGAGAGATGGCTGCACGGCCCTGTCATGTAATCACAAACATGAATATGACTTATGTGGCAAAAATGCACTATGTGTCAGCACTAGCACTTGCAACTTGCACATACAAAAAAGTCAGGAGAGACAACAGTGACATTCAATGTCTAGAACTGTCACAGGACACAAAAACATAACTTAAAGAAAAAGTTAAAACAATGTTTGGTTGTTGCAATGATAGAGACCCATAAAATATTGAATGGTAGAGAAAAGTTTACAAATGACCATGTTACTTTACCTATTTTGGTGAATATTAATTTTTACACAGACACCATGGTAACATGTTGAAAAAATTAATTCTTGCATTTTGGAAAACTGTTCGAAGGTGATATCGTAACATGTACTGTTAAACATATTAAAATCACCTGAAATAGAGGTAAAATAAGAAATTCATTGTTAAAAACTGAAAAACAAAAGCAAATTTGAAGACCAACTATAGAGGGTGCCAAATACATCATTGCTGAGTTTTTTGTTCAAACAGCAGTAATGTGATTTCTTCCCCTTTTTGCTTTTAAAATTAGATGTGTAATTAATTTAAGCCAACCTGTCCAAAAAAATCCATGAATGGCAAACTTAGACGAGGGTTCTCCAAACCCGCCTATTCACATAGTTCATACCCATCATAGACTCCGGTCAGTCAAAATGACTATTTTGAACTGTAGGCATTAATCAGCGATTCTGTCGGTGACGGAGAGATAGAATCTAGGTCAGGGCCAGAAGCCCCATGACCCCAAGATTCTCTTCCCCTTACGTCACAAACCATGTGACCGAGGCCATATGGCAGCGCCATAGACTGCTGTACAAATCACTCTGGTTCCTTTCTCTCCGCATCGAGGACTTAGACCAACGCTACGGAAAGAGTGGGGTGGTTTGGGGGGACCCAGAGTCTATGGAGGATATGAACTATGTGAATAGGCGGGTTCGAAGAACCCTCGCCTAAATCCACTACATTCAATTACCCACCATAGACTCCGGTCAGTCAAAATGACTATTTTGAACTGTAGACAGAGTCAGACACCGATAGGTGGCGGGTTTTTCCCGAGCAAACAGAAAAAATGATGAAAGTCTTTTTCCCAGTCCGGGATGAAAACAAACTCAACACCCTAGTTAAGACCCAAAAAAGGGTGGTGTCTTACCTTGCCTGTGCTGTCCCCGGAGCAAAAAGCCAAAATGCTGCTATGGTGACAGGGTTCAGTATGCCCGAGAAAGCCAGACCTCAACCCAATTCTGGGGGGGTAGTAAGCTTTCGAAGTAAAGGCTGAAACAGTTCTGCATGAGGGCATGGCCGTAAAGCAGGACCTGGGAGCTTCCAGGGGAGTGCTGATGGTAGAGAAATCTGTCCGCATAAAATGCCGGACTGACTTATTGCCTATGCGCAGGGACCCTGGGTCAGCAAACCAAGACTGACCGCTACGACGGGACTCAACCTAGAGAGACCCTTTTCAATGGATACGTGCCTGGCACCCCGTTCCAAATCCTTAGTACGGTTTGGCGGCAACTCCGTGCTTGAACCGGGCAGAGAAGCAATTCCTCCTGACCCTCCGGGCAGACAAAATTTGACAGCCGGGGGATTACGATCGTGTCCTGGGATTTGGTTCTAGGCGAGAAACCTGATTCGTGTCTTTAGCACAACTTGATTGTCCATAACGGCGGTACATCATTCGAGAAGGACATTGCCCCCAGCTCTGGCCAACGCCTACCTAAGGCGAGGGCCAGTAGGAAGACTATTTTCCACGTCAAAAATTTGAGTGGTGCTGATTGGAGAGGCTCAAAGGGCCGGTCTGCTTAGAGCAGACAACACAGCTCCCTTCACCAATCAGTGTATGCTTGCAGCCTAGAAATGTAGGCCACGTTGGTGGAATCCCTGTTCGCCCTGGCCAGGACGTTGGCAGCCCGCTCAGATAAGGCTTTCGTATGTGCGGGTCTACTGAGAGCCTCTATGCATGTATGTGATACCTGCTGGGCTCGTTGGTAGTGCACCGTCTGGTTGGGACGGCAGGTCCGGAAGCACTGCTGGTGTTTCAACTAGCATTTCCAACAGAAGTGGAAACTAGGTCTTGCTTGGCCAATTGGGTGCGACCCATGATAATATGAGGGTGTGCACCTGTCGAAGTTTTCTCCGGTGCCCGGTGAACTAGCGGGAAGGGAGGAAAGGCGTACACAACTAAGTGGGTCAGCAAAGCAACCCTGGCCCAGGCTCCTGGAGTCAGCAGGAGTGTTACGTACGTCGGGCGCTTGACGTTCCGGGGATGCGGCAAACCGGTCCAACCTTGGACCATCCCACAGCCGAAACAGCCTGGAGGCTACCCACTGGGGTATCAGCCACTTCGTTTTCTGGAGACGGAGCCATCCTGAAAGGGCGTCGGCAGACTGTTCTTCACCGCTGAGGTGGTGTGCGGTTAGCTCCACATTGTATTCCAGACACCAAAGAAGGATTTGCTCCGCTAGGACAACGATTGGGAATGCGTTCCCCTCCTTCTTGAAGGAGACCACCGCTGCGTTGCCTGTGCGGAGCAGGACTGAGTGGTCTCGATTGAGGCGTACCGACATCTAGTGAAGCAGCAGCACTACCTGTTTCATCACTCGGGTGAACACGTAAGGCGCTGTGCCTAACCCGAACAGGGGGGTACCCAAAATTCGAATACTTGGCCCAGCTGGGCAATTCAAAGGAGATGGCAACTCGCTGGGTGCATCGATATGAGCAGGTAGGCCCCGCTTAAGTCTAGTAGGGCTAGCCAGTCAAAACGGTGGATGGAGAGGAGAACCCTGAATGGTGTCTCCACTGAGGTGGGGACGTACCCTGACTCAGCTTGTCGACGAAAACAAGCGTGTCTAAGGCTGCGCCTCGTAGCACAGTAGTGGCCCCGGCCAAGAGAGCCAGGTGACACTAGGGGGTGGCCCACCAGTAAAAATGTCGCC